ATGACTCTTGTCTGTCATACTTGAGTAATAAGTAGGATCAGGAACCGATTGTGGGGGAATAATAGAACTAAAAGCTTCTATTCCAGTAGAATGGAACAGGCCTTTATCTGTTGGTAACATTTCATCTTGATGATTATTCTTAGTTTTATTTCTCCATAGTGTATCGTAAGTTGCATTTTCTCTCATTATGTTTACATCATGAACGAACGAAACATTAGGGTAATCGTATAAGTCTTCAAAATTTTGTGGTAATAAATATTTAGAGTTTACAATCGAAGTACCTCCTGTGATTGTTCCATTATTTGGCGCTGGCTTGAGATTCAATGAATCACAAATTATATTGTACACTTCGATATTCTCAAAAGGCCTTATTTTTAAAGAATTTAAATCTTCGCCTAATCTATCTTTAAAAAAAGGACCTGTTCCCAAAAATAGAGCTCTCATTAAAACTTCTGTGTTATTGTAACCATGAACACCTTTTGGAGTGTAGTCATAATTCTTGTTTTTGTATTCCTCATGTGTGATTATTGAATAACCAACTTTAGGTACAATCCATAAAGGAGCAATCCTATCTGAATATTGATTTTTAATATTACCAGCAAATGTCCATTCTTTTGGTAAATCCTGCTTTAAATAAACATCGTATTTATTCCCATTTTTAAGATCTTTATTACGATTATCCATTATTTCTTTATAAATATCTTGAATAGAATATTCTGAGAATGGCCTCAAACCAAATAATGGCCAGCCATCAATATGTTCAATTTCAGAAAGATTGACCATATCATCTAAAAATATGATTCTATTATTTGATGTTGGTGCCATTCCATGATCAGAAACAATAACCACGTTGACAACATCGGTTAAGTTTCTGTTTTTTAAACCAATATATAAAGTTTCCAAAAAATTATCAACATATCCGAGTCCCTCATCTAATTTTTCGCCAGAAATTCCAAACTTATGACCTAAAGAATCAATAGTTGGAACATATGATAAAATCAATTCAGGTCTAGAAGAAATATTCCTATCCAACCACCCTAAGACTCTGTCAATTTTCTTAGACAAAACTTCACTGCCATTGAATCTATCAAACTCCATTGGAACACCACCTTTACTAGTGAATGGAACTTCACTTCCTGGCCACATATGTACAGCAGTGGAAACGCCTTGTAAATTTGCGGTATGCCAAATCGACTCACCACCCCACCAATCTTCTATTAAACTTAACTTTGGATTTGTATTTATGAATTGTCTTTTAGAAACAGGATCATAAAAAGTGTTTCCGACAATTCCATGATCTGATGGGTAAAGTCCTGTAGCTAATGTCCAGTGATTTGGAAACGTAGATGAAGGAAACGAGGGAATCATGAAAGGTGCACCATAGCCATCTATCATTAAATTATGCATAAACGGTGTTAAATCTTTTGAAATATAATGGGGGTGAAACCCATCTAAAGATATCAATATCGTTGTTGGGTAAAAATCATGAGTTCCATTTGTTAAAGCTTCTTTAGTGGTTTTCTGTAATCCGCCGTTGGTAATAGTTGTATTTTTATTGTTATTCTGTTTTTTGTTTTTACTTATAACAACAGAAAACCCAATTAAAAACGTTAAAAAACCTATTATTAAAAAATAAAACTGATATTTGTTTAAAGTTATAGTCTTTGACTGCTTTCTTCTTCTATTCAATCCCAAATCAGTAAAATCTTCAAAATTTAAAATAGATTCACCATCACCTTCCGTACTAAAATTAGTAAAATTTGAATTTCTATCTTCCAACTCTATATCGTTATCACGATGAGCTTTAAACTTAATATATTGGTTCTGATTTGAATTTCCAAAAATCCTATTGAACTGATACTTAATCTTATTTGTTAAGCTGGCCTCTGTTTCGTCATTATCTAAATTTAAAGAATCGTTATCATTTTCATAATCCTCCATTCTAAATAAATCACTCGCTACACTGACAGAATTATTATCACCACCGGAAACCACTATATCATCATCCTCTTCATCCAAATTAGTTATAGGCACATCCACTTCATGACCAATAGGTTGAGACATATCGTCTTCTCTTATTACGGCAATTTAACTGATTTATTTAATAAATTTTAAAAATAAAATACTTCATTTTTTTTAATGTTTTCATTTTAGGCAATTTAATTCAATTATCAATTAATTTTATTATCAACCGCTTTAAACGTATGTTATACAAAAACAATAGATAGTTAGATGGATAGATAGATATGAATGGACCGATAGAAAGCACATATGAGGCGCATAATATTCAAGAATAGGATGATATGTCCAGCTATAAATTTCAAGGTGGGACGGCACAATTATCAATACTATAGTACATCGTCTTTTACCGATAGTGAAAACTTGATACTGGATTTGAAGAATATTGATTCAAGTATTTTAAACAACGATAAGTTCAGCATTTCTTCTGCTTCACAATATTTTCCCAAGTTAAAGGAGAATGTTACTTTGAAGCTGAAATTGCACAAAAATAAAAAATTGCCGTTCAATTCATCCAGGGATTTATTAGAGTTACCAGTTTATCAAACAGATCAATCTAATTTTAATACGGTGAAGTATAAATGGCTTCAATACTCATCTGATAATAATGTCCGATTGTTTTCTGAGTATTTAAAAACGTTAAAGAACAACGGTGATGAAAATTTTAATAGTTTTATATTTTGGAGGTTGACAGTTCAATTATCCCTAATGGATGATAATTTATATGAAAGAGTGATCTTGCCCTTAATAGTTAATACTGTTAAATCTTTGAATAATTATAAATCTGTTTTCAGCTTATCCAAATTTTATGAATTGATGTTAATATCATCTTTGGAATCAACTAGGTATGATTTAGCAGCATTGACTCATCAAAAATTATATTCTTTGATTACTTCTGGAAATATTACTATTAATTGGCTTCCTATTATCCAAACTTGTATGTTACATGATGATTCCATCTCATGTTTGAAATTTTTATTGAAGATTCATAAAACTTTGGATTTAACAAGAGATGGATTTTATGGACATATAATTCCATTTTTATTCCACAATTATGATGACTTTAACTATTTGATTTCATGGAACAATATGTTGATAAGGTTGGGTGATTTACCCGAGGATTCAGAAGATTATTTATTTCTGCTTATGCAAATGCTGTTGAATTTCAAGTTTCATAAATCAATTCTACATGTTTTGAATTCTCTTAATGATAAAAAAAACAATTTAAAAGTCAATCATAAGCGATGGGCATCTAAAAAGTTTATCAACATATTTATAAACGCTTTCAATTTTCAAGAAATCAAGAATCAAACTGAATATTTAGATTTTTTATTGTTGACATTCAGTAAACATCCCTTTATTTATGATGAGGAGTTTTGGTTCAATGTCATTGAAAAAATTCATTTTAAAGAATTAACTGAGTTAAATGAAACCTCTGAATGTATAGACATTAGGTATATCAATGATTTAATGAAACTGTACAATATCAAAGAGACTTTAGATATATATTCGATAAGATGTTTGAAATCAAGTCATGATCATAATATTTTTATGAAAAATTTTGATTCTTTAATTAACTACAAGGAAGCGATTTATAAAGAAAAAAAAATTGTTCTCAATATACCAGCAAAAGTTTTAGGAGTATTCATTAAAATTTTGATTAGTCATAGTTTTCCAAATGATATGAATAACATTCATTCAAGAATTAATGAATCGTTCAAAGTATTAAAACAATTTTCTCAGATGAGTAAAGTTACCAGCATTTCAAATAATAATAATTTTTTCATCAAGACAAATGTTGAATTACTGAAAGGATTTTTAAAAGGATTATTAAACGTTAAATCAACAATATTGAGTAAATATGATAAATTGAATTATTGTTATGAACTAGATTATTATATTAATGATATTTTACATAACAATTATGATGAAGATAAAAGGATAAGTAAAAAAATTGAGTTAGATTTTTATGACAAACAAAAGATTGTTGAATTAGAAAGTGCAATTATACTTTTCAAATTAAAGATGGATCAAGTAGAACAATGTTTTTTGAAATTTGACAATCTTATTAAAAATATTGAAACTTTTAATAATGGAAATTCTAGTTATAAATTAAAAATCAATGAAAAAGTTTCACACGCACTTGTCGAGACGGTAACTGGTAGAATTTTTAAAAATAATAATAATTTGGAACTTCTTGAATTTGAAGATGAATTTGTAAATATGAATCAAGTTTCCAATTCTAATAAGAATTTCATCTATAATTCTTTAAAACAATTGATCAAATGTTACCAATTGGATAAGGATTCCGTTAGTATAAATACTTGGAGAAAATTATTAATTGCGTCGTTGAATGTTAATTCATTACAAGAAATTGAAACTTTTTCTAATTATTTAGTTCAATTAATTTTAAAAGATGAGAAAAATTTAAAATACAAATTAAATCATTTCAATATTAATCATCCTTTAAGAATTTTATTTTCTGATAAAGTAATATCAGAGATTATTAAAAATGGATTTTTAAATTTGAGAGAGAAATCTTACGAGCCTTATGAGTATTTAAGATATTTATTGGAATTATCAGATAAGTATAATATTTACATAAATGAGTCAAAATTGAAAAAAGAATTAAAATTATGTTTCAAAAAATTATATATCATAGATAACAGTAATTTAAATGAACAATGGGAATTGATTAGAGCCAAGAATACTTTAAATCTAGATGAAATGGTTGCCAGGTTCAATGACGTGTGGAAAATTGATAATTCATTTTTAATTATAGACGATAAAACTGAAGATTTTAGAAAACAAAAATAAAGTATAATTATTAGTCAAATATGTTATTATAGTAGTAGTAGTAGTAGTAAATAGTAGTAACGATGATGATTACCATGATTGAGATGTTTTTTTTTAGTGGTGGTAGTATATCCTGCAAACAATCTGGTATACTTTAATTCTATTTTCATTGCAGCAACGGACTATCCTTATTAGCTCAGTTGGTAGAGCGTTCGGCTTTTAAGGATTGTTTCATTTCGAGACAAAGAAGTCGACCGAAATGTCCAGGGTTCGAGCCCCTGATGAGGAGTCCTATTTTTTTTTTTTTTTTCAGTTTAAAAAACTTTTTTAGTGTAGTGTACTATTTTCTCAAGTTAAATCGTTGTTGGAAGATTAGATTATCCTTGAATATGAAAGAAGCCTACTTAACACTATACAGGATGGAAATTTAGCCCATTAATACTAGCAGCCAAATAATTCTTGTATGTTCGTACTACTAGTTAATGAAAAGAGATAAATGAAAAAAAAATTTTTTTTATTGCATTGAAATCTAGAAACTCTGGAAAGTATTTTATAATAAATTCATTTTAAGTTTCTAGTTAACTCTTTCTATATAAGGTCTAATTCTTTATTAGTTTAGCTTTTAAGAAGAAAATTAAAAATTGTTTTGAACTTTGATTAAATACAAGATCCTTTGATTTACAAAAAAAATTTCCAGCAAAATAGTAGCATAAGAGTTATTTGGTTTAATACATTTTTAAAACAAGTTGGAGTATTAAACAATTACTAAGAGGACCATTAGGATCATATACTGATCCTTTTTTTTTTTTTTTTTTTTTTTTTTTTTTTTTTTTTTTTTTCTTCTTGGCTTTTTACCAAAGTAAAGTAAGCTAATCCATCATTCATATTACATGAGAACAAGATCTGGGACTTCTAGAACCTCAAAAAGATGATTTCGTAATTTTTAAAATAGTTAAGTAAAAGAGAAATCGCTTGTTGGTTGGTTGTTCTAAACTAAACGGTAATTGGGGAAGGCGTACTTTTTATTGCACCGCATTGCATATAAGCTTAATTACTTACCCATATTAGGAAAAAATTTTCATTTAACTTACATTAAAAAAAACAAAACAAAAGAAAAAAGAACAAAGAAAATTTAATACTTTGTATAATATACAAAGGTAAACTCATCGCTTGTAGATATATATATGGGTTACTCTTTTATTTTCACTTTGCCTCGAAGTTATGTCTCAATCCAAAATAGAAAAATTAAAAAATTAAAAAATAAATCAAGGCAGAAGAATCTCGAGAAAAACGGATTCCATATGCTCGGATATGTCCACAAGGCAAAAAAAAAAAAAAAAAAAGAAAGATACAAGCAACAAAGATGAAGAAATC